AATGTTAGATTTTAACTTTGTAGCAACGTTAATGTGTAACGTTTGGTATTAAAACAATGTTGTCCTAATGTTTTCGTGACGTTCTGAAAAATTAATTAAACATATGTCTTCTATTATTAAACCTGACAGTTAAACTAGGTCTAAAACGAGATCGATCAGGTCATATGACTTCGTGTGCCTATTCTGCAAGAATCGCGAGGAAAGCCTCCTTGGTTAGTCCTTACTGGAAATTTCCGTAAGATATTGTAATAAAGTTTTACCCAACTGATTTTAAGCTAGACAGTTGGCCTTTGTATTTGGCAGCTTATCAACAACTCGACCAAATATGGTAATTCTGACCATACACGACACCGATACACGCAAGGTGCTTGCGCCGCGGGCAAATTGAAAAGATTACACCATTGTTCTTGGCTTGCGACGCAAACGCATGTATGCTGACTCTCCAATCTCATCGAAGCTACTGTATATTTCGCGCTCGTTTGTTCTGGAAAACCTTTTATTAACGTCTTCAATGTAAGTATACATTGTATTTGTTACATTTAAAATGTCCATGCGCCTATATGTACGCAAAAAAGGCGATCAAAGTATATTTATTTTGATACGTGTCTGCATGCATGTTTGTTTGACGCCATGTTAATTTACATTTTACAGCACCTCTCTTGAATCGAAGATATATTTCAGGAGTACTCGTTCGTTTGTCAATGAAACCCAAGAATGACTGTAATTGCTATACAGCATGTATTAAATATTGAACTCTTTGTGCCAGTGTACGCGGTAGGGCAACCTCGTTCCCAGGCTCTTCCCTCTTGTGGAGGAAAGACCCTGTTCGGAGCTGGTCACGTGACCCATAGAAAATTGATAGCCTAAGAGGGGGACGGAAAAGTCTCATATTACATATTTCCACTTCCGCAACTTCACACTTCGATTGCAAAGAGTGGCCGTTCTGTACAATCATCTTTGAGAATCATATATATATATACTTCAAAGTTCAGAATACTTGCTTTTAAATTATACAATCATCCTAAAATGCAGATTCTTATAGCAACAGACAACTCAGGAAATCAAGCAACGAAAACGTATGATCGTATGCTTTGAACATTTGCCCTTTTATTCTCTCGGGGTTCGGGCGCAGTTTCATTTCACGCGTACGTTTCTATTCTGGCTCTGGTTCAGATATTTATAATATTCTTATAATATGCCATTGAATTCTTGTCATATTGGAAACGGTACAAATTTTTTGTGTTGGTGTAATGTACTCAGGGTGAATATAATGCTTGTGATGTTACTCTGAGTGTATATCTACACCGAGCAAGCTTGAAAAATATGCCTGGCCACGGTGGGAATCGAACCTACGACCTTTAGAATACTAGCCCTTTGGAATACTCGAACCGACCTGACCGCGTAGCTCAGTTGGCAGAGCATTGGTCCAAAGGTCGCAGGTTCGAACCCACCGTGGCCAGGCATATTTTTCAAGCTTGCCCGGTGTAGATATACACTCAGATTAACATCACAAGCATCATATTCACCTGAGTAGATTACACCAACACAGAAAAAACCATGATTACAAGATTACATTGATATCGAAGGAACTAGATTCTGTTCCGAAATATCACATACTCGAACCGACCTGACCGCGTAGCTCAAACGGCAGAGCATTGGGCTAGTATTCCAAAGGTCGTAGGTTCGATTCCCACCGTGGCCAGGCATATTTTTCAAGCTTGCCCGGTGTGGATATACATGCTCAGAGTAACATCACAAAATCATTTCGGCTATGCTAGAAGAATTAGTTATATCAGCAATAGAAACACCAGGCGGAAATCGAATTCTAGTTAAAAATATTATTGCCCAGCAAATAACTCGTAAAAGAGGCATATTCAAAAAACATTTGGTATATAAAAAATATTTATTGAGTAACGTTTCGTCACATTACAAGCGACATCATCAGACTAAATACAGTTAAGCTATTTCATCTATTTTATAACAAATTTTGAAAAAATATATATGAATATACAATTACAAACGGTTAATTAAAAAGTTAAAATTAGAAATATACCATGTTCATGGTATATTGACATGTACAAGATACTGAGATAAGTGAAAGATATAGATTATTTAGCGTCAGTGTTAAAAGATGTTAGTAAATTAACAAGAGGAAACACCTACTTAGAAAAGTGTTAACGGAAAAGATCGAACTTTATTATTAAGCCATGGTTTAGTTTGAGCAATTAGTGAGCTTTCTTTAATAAGAATATCATGGTTAGAATTAGCTGAAGTAACAATTTTAAAATCACTTGGTTCAATGAGCCAATTGCGGAATGCGCAAAGCATCATGGTAGTTTAGTTACAAAGCTGAATTTTCCATCATGGCGCTTGCTTTCTTCGAAGTAGAGTAGACGGTGAACAAATGAAAATTTAAAGAAAAGTTGTATCATTTTCACTTCGATTAAAGCTTTTGCCAAATCTGTACGTCTTGTTCTATATATTTCCACTCTGTCTTTGGCTTCTCCAAGCGAATGGTGTTGAAATATTTAACATGGCGTACCGAGTTGCTGAGGCGTGAAAGGGCTTCGATTCGATATGGTAAGACACGAATTATGGTATTTTTCACAATGTAAAGGTACGTACTTGGTTAAATTACTTTTTAGATAAGGGACACATTGTGGATCATTGTTTAAATGGGAAAATACGGCGATCGACTCATTAGTCATTTCACGCGGCTTGAGACACGAAGATGTTCTCACACTAGGTCGGCCAAAAAAACAACACATGTTTGATCACGGTTAATAGAACTAGAGTTTGATCAAGTGTTCTTTTCACAACCAAAACATTGAGCTCATTTGGCGCGAAAACTAACCGTTTGAAATACCTAGCTTTCTCATTTCAAATATTTTCGCTGTTGTAAAAAAGTGCTTTTAAGTGCTATTCACTGCTGTTGGGTGTTTTAGTGGAGTTTTCAACTACAAAAAAATTGTATTAATATTGTTCGCTTGTTCGACTATCTACTTGGCCGGTTTTGGACCGTTTCTGGACCAGTTTTTTTGCAAAAAAATGGAAAATATACCAAGGACAAAAAACCTCAGTGGCCTTCGTCCTTTTTCACACAAGTTGTTAACAGAGCACTTGATAACTGACGGTTCAGGGAAACATGGGAAACCAGAAAATGCTCACAAGCACAAGAAGTACGGGTACCAGCAGGTTAAAATGGTTACCCAGGTTTTAGTCAAGCCAAATGTCTTAAAAGGCGATGAAACGTTTTTCCTAGTTAAAAGTAATGTACATGCCTCCATGAAAAAAACTAATTACACAGTTTATGTACACCTAAACCAGAGCACAGGCAAAGTATCACATGCAAACTGCTCATGTAAAGCTGGACAAGGTGGTTGTTGTAAGCATGTGGCAGCCTTGCTGTTCCAAATTTTGGATTTCATTGAACTTGAGTTGACTGTTGTGCCAGAGGATTTGACCTGTACTCAGTTACTGCAGCAATGGCATGTTTCCTCCAATAATAAACTTGAAACTGCTTTACTCTTTGACCAAGTGAAATTTAGTAAGGCAACTTCCATGAAAGAGAAAGTGTACAAGGCGGATTACAATAACCCGGCACCTGCTTTTGCTAAGGATGTGAAAGAACAGGACCTAAAAAACCTTGGGAACAAGTTGCAAGCTGCAGACACATGTCATTACTTTCAAGACCTGTTAGAATCCCAGGACTATCAACCTTATGAATATAATGAATTCCTGGATGAGTTGCCTTCGAAAAGGGCATTTACTGATGCAAACTCCCATGCAAGTCAGCTTTATAATGATAACATTAGAGAGTCGATATTAAAAGATATTACTATCCCTGACTTTGCTGAAGTATGTAAGCATATACCTTACCTATACTAAAAATAGGTACGCGACGCGTACATGTATCTGCGCATTAAAGGTCCAGACACACCAAATAAAAACAAATAAAACCGTCAACGGATAAAAATTTTACAAGATATGCAGACAAAATAGCTAAAATTGCTTAAGTGGTTCCGAATATTTGAAAAGACGCGTTGCCAAATCGCGTCCGGTCTGTGTGGGCCTTAAGGCCTGATTCCACGACGGCGAAATTCGTCGCGAGAAATTGTGTCTGCGAAATACGGATGGTTGCACATGTGAGCGATTGTATTGAATTTTCCCACTTTGTCCGCGGCTTTCGCAGTATTAAAGTAGAAATGTTTCTCATTCAGTCGCCGAGAAAAAGCGCTCGTGGAATCAGGGCTTTACTGCATTGGTGTTGCATTGACAGAATTACATTTTACAGCAATTGTCCGAAATTGTGCTAGTTGAAATTATATGCCTGCTTCAGATATAATTTTACGTTTAACCAGTGACTTCTAAATTAAGAGGACGAGAACCATTTATATCCCGAATGCAATAACAGTCATACAAGAATGTTTCTTTTTATCTGGAGCTAAATATCTGCTACTCATACAGTTCATTACTTTTAAGGACAATCTAAAGAAAACAATTAATTAAGGCTGTAAAACGTGGGGATTCAAAGACGTTGGATTTGACTTCTGTACATGGAGTCATGCATTCGAGACTGACTTGTGGGCAAGTCTAGGAGTCATGAGCTAATAATATATAGTTTCTGACATTTAAAACATGCAACAGGGCTACGTTTATGCTATACTTTGTTTTTATAGTTTAGCCATGTTTCAGAGGCCTCCATTAAATAACAGTCAAGATATATACGCAAATATAATTTCCGTGTCTATCTAAAATTTGTAATTGTTTCGTGAAGATTCAACCATAAAACAATCGCCGGCAGCCTAGTCCCAGTCGTTCTGAAGCAAGCGCGAGAATAAAGTGGATGTAGTACGAGACTGGGACCTAGGTGTGACGTCACCGCTCAAGGTGCTTCAGAACCAGGCATAAAACTTTTAAGACTTATTTAAATATATCAAAGCAGCGAATAGAGAGAGAGCCTGGAACTAGGCTGAATCGCCGGAAATGGAAGCCCTAATTATAAAAACTCAGGGAAAACCCATGCGGTATGAAATGCGTGGCCTGTGCGTAAACATGTCAATCAAATATCTATAAATATGACGTTTTATATATTTGCACAGTACATCCACAGGCGGCCCAATCTCAGAATGAATGATCAGGTATTGCGGGTTTTTAACGGTTTTTATAAACAAATTTATAGTCAACCAAAACTATTTTAAAAACATTCTTAAATTAGTCAAATAAATACATTTTAACAATAAAATATAGTTGACATGATAGTATAATACCTTTGCATTCTTTTAATTACTCCATGAGCTCATTTAGAGCGGTTGATGTAACATTTTCTGTGGCTTACATTGTGTGTGCTCATCTATATATAATATAACAGTGAAAGGCTAATCACTGGCGGCACGACCGCATCGCCTTCAAAGTCAAATATCTCCGCTCAAATTTGTCGTACGCCAAAACAAATTCGATTACATCTTTTCACAAAGATTTCTCTTTCTAAATAATATGGTTTGATCATAGTTCGGGCAAATTTAGCGACAAATGAAACCAAAATCTCCTCAATTTCGGATACTGTTCAAAATACTTAGGGCTGCCACGATCGTGGACGTGACGTAATCAATACATACTGACAATAACGCCTTAACGCCTTACGTGGGGTGGGACAGCATCAAGCGACAAACTATCGTCGGATTTGATATGCTGTCCCACCCCGGTTAAGGCGTTATTGTCAGTATGTATTGGCCTGTCCGTCTACGGTTCTTCTCCAGCCGAACTCAATACTCTACAACGGTTTTTTGACAGATGTTTTAAGCGAAAGTATATATCAGAACCTGTAAATATTAGATATCTTTTAGAAATACAAGACAAAAATATTTTTAAGGCTTCTGTAAATCAGAAGAGTGCCATAGTCGACTTGATACCAAGAAAAAAATCCACAAGCTACTCTTTGAGGACAGAGTTTAGTCAGTATCCAAGAGCGAACACGGAACGTTTTAAATTGTCGTTTGCAAATAGATTAATTTTTAACTATAACCTATTCATATGATGTAAACTTTACTAATGTATTCTTAATATATACTTGTAACATAAGATATGTATTTTTATCTTTTGATCTATTAAAAAGACTTTTGAATTGAATTGAAAGTTGAATTACGTCACGTCCACGATCGTGCCCGAGCAGCCCTAAGTATTTGAACAGTATCCGAAATTGATGAGATTTTGGTTTCGTTTGTCGCTAAATTTGCCCAAACTATGATCAAACCATATTATTTAGAAAGAGAAATCTTTGTGAAAAGATGTAATCGAATTTGTTTTGGCGTACGACAAATTTGAGCGGAGATATTTGACTTTGAAGGCGATGCGGTCGTGCCGCCAGTGATTAGCCTTTTACTGTTATATTATATATAGATGAGCACACACAATGTAGGCCACAGAAAATGTTACATCAACCGCTCTAAATAGCTCATGGAGTAATTAAAAGAATGCAAAGGTATTATACTATCATGCATGTCAACTATATTTTATTGTTAAAATGTATTTATTTGACTAATTTAAGAATGTTTTTAAAATAGTTTTGGTTGACTATAAATTTGTTTATAAAAACCGTTAAAAACCCGCAACACCTGATCATTCATTCTGAGATTGGGCCGCCTGTGGTACATCGTGTACGTTTTTGTTGTAGAACTTCTGTTGCTCCAAATCGAATATGAAGTAAAATCAGGAGTATACTGTCACAGGCTATAATTTTGTATTTTAATACCCTCTGGAAATATCAAGGCTTTGGTACCCCTATCTATCACAAAAAGTAACAAATCCAAAACGAAGTATGAGGACTAATATTTTTCCTATCATTTGACAGATTAAAAGTATTATTCAAGAAATATGTCCATTTTAATCATAACGTGATACAAAAATATTAAATAACATGCGAAATTCAGTGCCAAAGAGGTAGTTAAATATGTAAACATATGTTCTCAAACTGGCAGAGTTTAATACCAATTAAAGCTCGCAATGCTATATATTTGGTTTGATACGAAGATAAAATAGTAAATACTCATAATAATTACAATATGTCCATGACCTAATTACTCAAAAATTTAGATTATTAAATCACATAATGGAACAACTTGCAATTTGCTACGCTCACTCGTTAGCAATATTCTCTTCGACACTCGAAATAAATACATATTTCCGCACAACCATGCATAAATATTCTCTATACATTCCAGTTTACCTTTAATTTGTCAAGTGGTAGGCAGGATATTAGTCCTTTTGATTTGTTATTCTCTTGACCCAACACGGAAGTGATAGGAACTTGAGAAAATGACAGTTGCAACTTGCGTGTATTAAATTCGCTCGGAGCAATTTGCAATCAACATTGCAAGATTGATTGCAATGTTGCAATACTCATGGGAACAGAACATCCGGTTTGACTGTAAGAGTTATATCAGTCCAAGACTGCTATAGAAGAAGATTTTATCAGGATAAAGTCTATTAATACCACGATTACTAATGATTACCACTCTTGAAAGCTTTTCGAAAGACGCCATCTTGTTTTAAAGCTGTTCTAACCTGCGAACAGGTCAAAACAAGGATGACACGACTTAAATTTAACGAGTTAACAACTTAACTTTACTTTACTGACTGACGCGATAGCAATATATCTGCGCTACGCGCAGATACAAAAACACATTAGTTAAAACCAAAGAACAAATGCTGGACATAGAATGTAACACAAGAGGCCAGTCAGATAGCAAACTTTGGTTTCAAGAAAGACAAGCTCGTTTGACTGCCTCTAATTTTGGTTCAGGTATGAAACGTAGAGAAAACATTTTCCCAAAGTCTCTACTCACAAAAATGCTTACTCCGGCAACAAATGGATCAAAACCGCCTGAACCATGTCTGTGGGGGAAAACTAATGAGCAGACTGCCATAGCAAAGTACTTGGAAGATAAACAATCTTTAACAGCTTGTGTTCAAAAATTATCAGGGCCGTTGCGAAGGGATATGGATTGGGGGGTGTCGAAGGTCAAATTGCCGAGTGACGCTAGTTGAATTTGCCGAGTTTTTCAAAAAATTTTAAAGTTTAGATATAGGTATAATGAGAACCATATTGGTGTCGTTGTAGTAAGGGACACCAATATGGCTCTTGTTTTGAAATAGTGATAGTGACTTTAATGGATTCATAGTTTGCAGTTACAGAAGAACTGTGCACTGAATTATCTACGAATATTTACAAGAAATAAATAGTTAGTCTAAATAGATTACCTATGGATTAGTTAAAAAGTTTGATCAAAATAGTTTTCTAAAATTCAAATGGGAATACATTAAGAATATATACATTCAAGATTACCTAGATTTTTACATATTTGAACTGTTAGAAATGACAAAGGAGTTTTTAAAGTTTTTAGTTCTTGGCACTAAAAGTTTACGGCTTCTTCTTAGGGAATATTGGCATGAGTTCAGGCTCCTTTGGAATCAGGTTGTGTAGTTTATGGCTAGTATCAGAATAGGCTTGGAGAAATAGTTTTTTGCACGCTTCCGATCGGCGATCACACAGGGTTTCTAGTTTAGCTAATTTGAGGCCTTCTTCGTATGAAACGCCAGGAAATATTCTTTTAATACATCGTTTTTGAACTCTTTCAATATCCAAATTTAAATATTGCGGTAAGGAATTATGAAAGACAGGTGAGGCGTATTCCAGTAACGGGCGAATGCATGAACAATATATTCGAATAATTTCATTTGCAGGAACTCGAGTTCTCTTTAACTGTGTGATTAGATATAGTCGCTTACTGGCCTTGGATACGATATTATCAACGTGCATTTTCCACTTGCAGTCACTGCTGACTGCGAGACCAAGTATTTTCGCGTGGTTTACGACCTCAATCTCTTTGCCGTTGACTCGGATGGGGTTGAGATGATTTGTTAGAGTTTGCTTCCGCGAAAAATCAATTCTGAGCTCTTTACATTTATCCTCATTGAGTTCGGCCAAATTCGAGCGTGTCATTTCTTGAACTTCGTCAACGGGTTCCTGAATTGAACTTGGCTTTCCTTTATGAATGACTTCAGATAGAGTAGTGTCATCAACATATTTCCAAGGTTTTGTACGGGTTGTTGTTAGATCATTAATCATTAATATATACAGCCAAGGACCCAGTTTTGTCCCCTGCGGCACACCTGAGCGCACTTGACCCCATTCAGAATAACAGTTAGATGTTAACTTTACCCGTTGTTTTTGGTCAATTAGAAAATCAATAATCCAATTGATAGTTGAAGACGGAAGATCGAGAGATTTTAATTTCGTTATCAAACGGTTGTGGTCAAGAAGATCAAACACCTTTCTTTCGAAAGTCGAATAGCACTGTACGAATCGTGTTACCTGGTTCGTCCGTGGCTAGCAGCCATTTATGCATCATTGAGATCAAGGCCAACGTAGTGGATGACTTAGGTACAACACCGTGCTGATTGGAGTCGATGACTTTTAGAACTGATGACTTAAGTTGTCTTTCTAGAATAAATTCTTCGGACAATTTAGACACAACTGGCGTTAAAGAAATAGGACGTAAATGCTTGTTAATGTCTGTTACTTGTGTATTTTTAGGAACAGGAGAAATATTTGCCTTTTTCCACGCCGACGGTAGTTTTTCTTGCTTATAAGAACAATTTAAAATAAGGCTAATGGGATATGCCAAAATTTCTGCAAATTCTTTGTAAACCCAAGGGGGTATACCATCAGGTCCAGGAGATTTGTTTGGGTTGAGAGCTTTCAATTTCGTAAATGTGTCAAATTCAGTTACTTGCACCGTATCGGCAGGAATAACCGAAAAAGATGCGGTATATGTTTGATCTAATTGCCGATGTATTTTGACCGACTCATCAAGTGGTTGATACGCTTGCTGCGGCTGTAAAAAGGTGTTGTTTATTAAATTTGCTTGGTCGTCGAGGGACATTCGATCGGTGTCATCAACAGCGAGAAGGGATGGAAGGTCTTTATGATTATTTAATGGTGCATGACCGCAAATTTGTTTGACTTCAGTAGTGATACCCCCCACTCTGGAGACCAAAGGGATGCCGCCGATGACGTCACATTGCTCCGAAAGTAATTAGTATGCAAACTTAGGTGTCGGAAGTAATTAGTATGCAAGATATGTGACGCAACTTTGCTGGCCCTAACCCTAACCCTGGGCCAGGTAGCGCGACCAATTAGCGCGGGCAAGCCTGGGCCAACTGTGACAGGTAGCGCGACCAATTAACGCGGGCAGGCCTGGGCCAAATGTGGCAGGCAACGCGACGATTAGCATTACAATGCAGCAACATCACTATAAATATAGCTAGTGTCCTTTCACCTGCATAGTCTGTATTCAACGCTCACGATGGAATGTTTTCACGATAAACCAGCTGCTTGTTCTACAACTGCTCGTGGTACGTTTTGGTTTTGTGGCGAAACACCGAGCTGCGAGTTCTTTTGCCATGACGAAGATTGTTATCTGTTCACGAGAGCGATCGAAGCCTGTCAGAATAGTGGTTCCAATCATCCCATTTGCCCAACACATCAGAGACTGGCCAAATTACGTGTGGTAAAAGATAAAATGAAAGATAGTTATGGAAGACCCTTCTTCACGTGTTCTGATAGACATGATCCTTGCAACTTTTGGCAATGGGGAGACATTTACGAAAGCCCTCGACCACGCTGCAAGCACGAGATGGTATGCACCGTACGTAAAGTGAAGAAAGAAGGACCCACACAGAACCGCCTGTTTTACTGTTGCCCTCAGATAGACAACTGTGGATTTTTCGAATGGAAAGTGATCGAACCTCGTGTGGCCAAGACTGGCTTCGTCCTATTCAATGACCCGCTAGAATATCGATACAAGAATGAAGACACGGGAGAAACATTCACTGGTACTAACACTAATGCTAAGGAAGCGTATGAAGAATTCCTTAAGAAATATGAGTAACTGTAATAAAACGAAATAAATTGTTTTATCATCATGAATGTGTTCTGTATGTTATTGAGATAAATCACTTACATTTCTCATTTGGGTTTTAACCTTTATGGTGAGAGGTTCTCTGGTGAAATGAATAATATAAATATAATTTTTGACGAGTTGAGACAAAATGAAATTGATATCGATAAGCAGACTTTATCGTTTCATATAAATGCAATTCTCGACCACCATCGAGATCTATATCGTGAAATGAGTGCTCATGGTCTAAACCTTGACCAAGTCTACACAGATATAAATATGACAAACTTTGGTCACATTTTTGCTTATTTAGCGTTAGTTTGTGTGCAAAGTGGCAGCGAGGAAAGCGTTCGAGAACATGTCCGAAAAACTATCGAGGCCTTTCGAACTTTTTATATCCCAAAAGCGGGGAGGAATAATAAACCACCAATTTTAATAGCGCTCTCACTTACACTAATAGCTTTATATGTTAGTCTATGATTGCTGCATGGTTCATTTCGTTCTAACCTCTGAGGTGAAAGGATGCCCTGTTGTGGTAAAAGTCTTCCAGAAATTTCCCTCCGAGATATCTTTCGGAAAGTGCGTTGTATTTCCGCTTGCTGTGGAGGGAAAATTGTAATTCAAGCCTCAGACATTGATGGCAGAAAAGTACCTGAGCCAAATCTATTACAATCCAGAAAGTCCCGCAAGCTTTGGTGGCATAGATTCAATTTACCGTGTCGTAAAAGACGAAGGAAAACATCAGATATCGCGGAATAAAATACGGCTATGGCTACAAAAGCAAGACACGTATACTTTACATAAATCTGTAAGATATCGTTTCAAAAGGAACCGTGTTATTGTAGGCGCAATTGACGAGCAGTGGGAGGCGGATCTTGTGATTATGGACTCGATAAGCAAATACAATAACGGCTTTAAGTACATTTTAACTGTAATCGATGTACTTAGCAAATATGCGTGGGCTGAACC